GCAGTTGCCTAGTGCCGGGCTGGGTAGCACCTGACCAGCAACTTGCCACATGATGCTTCCCCTGCAAGCTGCTAGCTGAGGCAGCGGGCCAGCGGCAGAAGCAGACGCTTTTAAAAGTAAGATTCTTTCTCCATGCCTGGCTCTACGAGGGGAGGGGGGGAGATTTGATTGGAGCGCAGCTCCAGACACTGGGGATCCCTGCCTCAGGGGGAGGAGGGAGTGCACTTGGATGGGAGGGTGCTGGGGGGGCTTGGCTCAGGGGAGGGGTGGGTGCAGTCACAAACTGGTGCAATTTTTGCTTAACAACTTGGCTCCCACCCCCCACCTTTTTTTTAGTGGGTCGCGGTATCACAAGGTTTGAGAACCCCTTATGTAACTGATTACAATTTAAAAGTGACAATATTTTTTAACCTGTTGCCAGGCAGAGCTGGTAGTAGAAATGGGCTCTCCTGGGGCCAGGGATCTCTCGTGAAGTCTGCCAGGGGTGACCACAAGAACTGCTGGCCAATGGGAACTCCAAGCAGCTGCAGATTGATGTTAGTTGCCAGAGGCAAGCAGGTACTGCTGGGGCAGTGGAGAGTTTAACCAGTAACTGGCACTGATAAACATTAGCAGTTAACCAGTTTGAACTCTTGCTACAATCCAACTGAATCCTAGTTGTATTTGGCATGTACCTGCACTTCCTGAAGCCCTGCTATGGGCCCCACACAGCATCCAGCCCAGCAACCTCCTCTACTGCCAATTCATGCATCGGAGTTTAACCCCCATAAGTTCAGCATCCCAGTGGGAAACCTCTTCTCCCTGCTGGGCCTAGGGTTTTATCAAGGCATCTTTCTCTCTTAAAGGGCCACACTTCATCACTGTTCAGTGATGCTGAGGGGCAGGGAGCAGTGTAGTCTAATAGTTGAACCAGGGTTCAGGACTAAATGCTATCCCTGATGTGTTTGGTGACTATGAACAACTTGCTGCCCCACCTTCCTTTCCCACAGTTTGTCTAACTGGACTGTGACCTGCTCAGAGCAGGGACTTTCCCTTGCTAGGTGTTGTGCAGGTCCCAGATTCCATTATGGATCTATAAGGCAAATGACAGATTATTGTTCCTGTTCATCCAATCAGAAACAGCTTGTAACCTCCTCTTCTTCAATCCCAAGACAGGTCACTGACAGAGTGGCCTGTACCTCCTGCAGTCTAAACTGCTCTGATTGTTAACACTTTAACTTGTACAAGCACCCCTCCTGTCACCAGTGAGGGTTGGGTTTCAGGACTTAGAGCCTCAAAGAAACATTTCCCACATCAGGTATTTGTAAAGACTTGACGTAAGTTGCCACAAAGCCAGAGCATTTACTTTTTACAGCATCTCTTGTACCATGAAGGCTTTAAGGAGCCGTGTCACACCTGTGCCCAGTAACAGTCAGTGAAATTAGCCTGTAATTAAAAGCCAATGTTATTTCCCATCACACTGGACAGCAACTCTGTACCTTGTACACCTGAGCAGCTTCCTGAAAGGGCACCACCATGCGAGCTTGGGATCTGTCACGCACCACACAGATGGGAGTTTGATCCTCTTTGCAGAACAGCTTCGGAGCCTCCTGGTGCTCCCCACACACCCTGCCCCATGTTGCTCTCTTTGCTGCCTGGAAACTCAGCGGCTTGGCTAGTTCCACCAAGTTTGCCAGCTGCTGGTTGGACCGGAGGGGTCCCTGCTGCTCAGTGTCTCTGCCCTGAGGGGGGCCTGGCAGGAAATGTGCCTACACTCCAGAGTGACAGTGTCAGACGTGGTGCTTCCTCCTGAAGACTTTCCATGGGGCTCTCTGCAGCCATGGCTGCCTCTGGGCTGGGGGACCGGGGCCGTGTCACTTCCCGGAGCTCAGCAATGGGGGGGGCGGGTCCGGGGGCGGCTGTCTGAGGCACCAGCAC